TGATCACATTATTTCAGAAGCACTAACAGACACACAAGCATACGAAAGTTTTAAAGAACGCTTCCAAATATTTTCACTAACCTTTCATTTCCTTGCACCACACGAAAGAGATTTACACTGCTCACACGATATTATGTTGCGCACTAAACAAACCCACACATATAGTTATTATCGCTTCATCCAAAATCACTTTGATCTACACACACCTTCTAGACAACCACACCATCGTTTTCAATTCATTAATTCCAAATACACTTCACCATTTTTCCTAAATTTCACATATTGTATTAAAGACACTAACCTCCATGGTATTCTTCGTAATTATGACCCCATAACCCAAATGTACATCTTCTGTCCCATTACCAAGACCTTCAACGCCGAAGAATCCCGACCCTTCCTTATCCCGCACGAGTTTGTACAACCCATAGAAATCCCAATTTTAGAATTCATCCACAACACTAAATTCAATCACAAATTATATAACTTAATCCAAAACACACCTTATGAGTTTGCAGTTGGCACTGAAGAACTAACCACTATCAAGGCACTTCAATTGCTTTGGCCACTGCTTCAAACTAAAAATATCATCCGCATCTTAGCTAAACTACTAACAACTTCAGAACTAATTCACGACATCTTCCCCCACGGTTTTTTCCCCGACGACTAACAGGTAAGTATGAATTAAATGAATATTACTAACTAATTAAAATATTAAAAAACTCACCATACTTTATTCATGTTTTCTTTAGATTTTTAGCCTTCATCCGACGATCACCTACAAAAACCACAAAAGACAAATAAAAATCGCAAATTTCATCAAACAGATTTCAAAAATTCTATTAATCTCTTACACTTATAAATTTATAAATTTAATACCAATGCAGTAAATTCATTTCTAAAATTTTCCCCCACAAGCAGTAAATCTAATTATGATGAAAATTTGTATCTTAATATTCCCCCATGACTAGCAGTAAATTTCTAAATTCTATGTAGTAAATTAAATAAATGCAAATGCAGTACTAACCTTTTGATATTTTCATTCATTCGCACAGAAATCCTATCCACACTCGCACAGCTCGCCCACGAAGAATTGTTTAAAATAATGAATTTCAGTTTCAAGTTTTCACACTCAACAACTCTAACATATAATAACATGTTTCAAACTTTCCTTTAGCCCGGTTGGAAAGGAATCATATACTAAACAAAACTAACCAACGCAGCTTACTAAATACCACAAATCATAGAATAACAGCATGACTTAGAAAAAGAAACCAACGGTACCCAAACCGGATTAACCCAGTTTAAAACTGGATAATTTATTCTTTTGAAGACTATTATAAAGTCTAAGAAAGAAATAATAAAACACAAAAAAGTCAAAAGACAAACCCATACCACAAACAATTTGATTTTTGAAAAAAGGACACAACCAACAAAACATAAGTAAGACCACAACAAACTCAACATAAAACGTTGTCACATAACAGGACCCCTCACAAAAACCGCATGAAATCATACTCCCACTCCTGGCCTAACCCACCAGGAAGGACGTCCTGAGCATGCTCTATAGCCGGCCTAACCCACCGCGCTACATCCACGCTTTGTGACCACACCACTATTTTTAATAAGAGCTACTCAAGTGTGAGTAACTCTTCAAAATAACCGAACTAAAACAAAAAGCTTTTGTGAAAACAACTAACTAAAATCATTATTAAAAAATATTAAACTAATAAAAGTTTTATAAAATGTAAAATCACATGATGCAATATATAGATCAGAATACAACACCAAGGACGAACATCAAAAGACAAGACGACCCCACTACACTCGAGAGAGAATGACCAACTACAATCGATATGCCGCTCACAATCACAACTCAAAGGATTTAGAGTACGACTTGACCTCGCAGAAAAGGACTTCATTGAACTAGACCAATGACCACCTCGATGTTCAAGTATACGTACAGATCCGAGTAACCAGGCATCCCCTCCACGCACAATCTCCACGCCATTCCCAAACTAGATCATACACAAAAGAAGTTCTCCACGCAGAACAGAAAAACCTGACATAGCAAACCATTCTGAAATCAGATTTGAGTTTGTTGCAAAGACGTAGTCGTTGTCACTAGAAGACACAACGTCTTATGTCTCTAACTCCAGCTTCCTGGAACTTCCCTAACAAAAGAGGAAACGGAAGAAAATTATGATGTTCGCCAAAAACAAACGTCCATCATCCATCCTTCGAATTGCAGAAGAACTATTCTAAAAAACTCTGTAAAACCCGGATGGGTGGAACCTGATCTAAACTACATTTTATGATTGGATAAATTAAATGTTTTACCAATGTAAAGTATTTAATATTAACCAATCATGATCCATCTAACTAACAACCCACTTATTTGTAAGTGCTGAAGTTACTTGTAATTTCAGCACCAGAGAGATTTGAATTTAACTTAGAAATTAGTTGGACTCTCCCGAGCACTTCAGCAGCCGCAATAAACCAGTATACCCTAGATCTATTGAGCCTAGCAGAGACTAGTTAAACAACCTGAGACTAGATAGTATAAGAGTAAGATTAGGATCGGTATTAGACTAAGAAGTTGCACGAATCTATCCGGCCGAAAATAAGATAGCGTGACGAGCAGACGGTGTACCCTATCCGAAATTACTCTATGAGTTACACTTCGGTCCTAACTCACTGGGCGATTGTCAGACAAATTATGTCTGCTTTCGGATACCATATCATATGACTGTTTCCAGTTGGTATGTTGCTCAACTTTAACGTTTTTGGCCTACGTGTGTGTTACTCATTTTCTCAGCTTTGATTTAGTTTTTGGATCTTTTTTATAATCTCCCCTTTGCTACGGTACCTAGCAAAGAATAAAACACCGCTATAAAAAAAACTAAATCAAAGATTTTGTGCATAGATACATTTTTGTTCCGACTTTAGTAACGAATATAACGGAATTTTCAGACAAATTGCGACTTTTTAATTGGCCGTTTTTGACAAAAGTTCAAAAAGCATTGTCGTCTTGAGCTGAAATTCGAAAAGAAATTTCACCTGTGATCATTTTTTGTTAAGTTATGGGGGTTTAAAGATTGCCAATTTGGCCAATTTGGGACAATTAACGCGCTATATATTTCGCGCTTTTTCGCTGTAATTAATCCGTCTGAGAAATCGTTCCAAATTGGTTGAAGAAAACTTAATTGCCATAATTGATTTGTTAAAAGGAGCTAAATTTATCACTTTGTACTTAATATGGCGTGTGGGGGTGTTTTTACGAAAAATCTCAAAATTTTTTTTTTTATTTCATTGCATTTATATTTTTCATGTTATTACTGCTCTATAGACCTTAAAAGGCAGTCGGAACATTCAGAGCTTCGCCCTTATACGAGCAGTCTTGCTTTCTTTTTTGCAATAGGAGGAAAAAAGAGATCCAAGGTCTTTTATACAGCGCTCTGTCATTGTTAGTTTTTTTAAACAGGCTTCAATGAACTATTTTCATGGTTGTTCTTCAATGAATATAACTTCAAACTGAGGCTTCATGAAAAGTTATTGACACTACTGAAAAGCACAGAGACTTCATCTGAGTTATAGTTTTTAACAATTTTATCGGTCAACGTTTTAATTTTTTGAAATTTTTCTGACCTTCAAGCTGAAACTAATTAGAAATAGCTCTATGAATTGTCGATTTTTTTCGTCGGCGGTCTGTGTATGCCTTTTGATGGAAAAATTGCGTGTCAGATCGCTGCTGAATGGAAAGTGTTTTGAAATTAAAGGCTTCTTGATTTTTATTAAAAATCTGGCCTCTAAATAAAAAGCTCAATCGTTTCGGTTTGGGGTCTTTTCGTTATACTTTTTAAAAGTTAAATTTACGAGAGGAAGTAACTGAGCTGAGTTCAATTGGACAGAGGCTCGTTTAGCAAAAAAAATGTTCCATTAAAAAAACTTTGGATTATAAAATATTTTATACTGGCTGACCAGCTTTTTAAAGATTCATTTGTGCAGGAACAATTTTTTTTGAATTGGAAGTTTTTGAGTTAATTTTTTGTACTCAGGGTTTTATGATGAAGTCATTTTTTTGGGGTTACTCTCGTTCACACAAGTAATGTCGGCTTAGTTATCACTGTCTAAACATTTTTCTAATGCTATGTTAAGGCCGTCTGTTGCCTTTCTGGACATCCCGGGTTGACCAAAACTTTTTATTATGCAATTTCTAGATAAGAAAAAACGCTTACCGTACAATTCCATACTATTCCATAGGTACAGAAAACTGTCTGACATCTCTATGACAAGTATTTTTCCATATATGGGAATTGTATTATAAGCATCTTTTCAAAAAAAAAGAATCTTGGTTTTTTCATCTCCAGGCTGAGTTATTAGAATCAAACAGCCGCAGAAATTAGTTTCTGCCTGTTTTCAACCAATGCCTTTTTTTCGAAATTGTGTGAAAATTTTATGACCAGCATTTTTCCATACACTTGATGTATAGAATTGTATGACAACCATTGTTTGTGTATGGAAGTCAATCCGGGATATTTCGTCTAAAGTCGATTTCATTCAAGACGAATCGTGATGCGAGAATTTTGGTAGATTAATTTTTCTAACGTTTTGACATCCAGTTCATTTTTTGTCGACTGGCTGTCTATGCTATCTTTGTAGTGTTTCGCAGGTGGGGTAAAACTTAGCGTCGCCTCTGACTAAATCGAATATATCAAAAAAAAATGGTTATTGTACAAAATCAAAATTACAGCCAACATATTAAAAAAAAAACAGATGAGAAAAAGTGTCTAAAAAGCAAACAAGCTCAAAACGTGTATGTTGAACGAGAGTTCACAAAAGTGTTGACTAAATGATTCAGTGAAATGATTCAGTAAATGATTCAGAAATTTTCAACCTGTAAAAATTCTATCACACGATTTGATAATGGTTGCCAACCGCAAGCGTAATTTCATTCGTCTTGATTGTGCAGGAAATCTAATGCTGTTTGGTGATTTTTTTAGAGACACTGGGCTGGATTGGCCGGTAGTCGAGGTGAGTGCGAAATGGAATCTACACATGGACCAGCTCCTCTCAGTCATGTTTGCCCAATGGAGACCCACGTACCCCCCTCACCCCTCCCCAATCAGCCCCACCAACCCCAACAGCAGAAGTGGACTCAGCATCCCCCCCTCCATCGCTCTTCACTCCCCCTCCCATGGCCCGGAGACCAGAGACACGGACGATGATTTGAAATTATGTCGCACTGTTAGCATGAAAAACCCAAGTGAACTGAAAGATGCATCAAGTTTCAATAAGCCGCCCAAGAAAAACTCGGTAAGTATAAATAAATTACTTTTATTTTAAATTCCCAATTGTTTTCTGGTCGTTTTTGATGCAGATGATACGTAAGTTTAACTCGTAGAGGTTATGAGGCGTATACGGATCATTACGTTCTATATAAGATGTAAAAAAAATTGAGATTTCAAGCATTTTTTCTCTGAATTTGCTTTTAAAATAAGTTTTTTTTTTTCATGAAACAGCTAAACATTTTGTTTGCACTTGCGTTTTTGTTGCGACCACCCCGCCAAAAAACTTGGGAAAAAAAGTTATCAAGGGTGGGACTCGTTTTTGGATCTCTTCAATTATTCCCCCAACAATAAAGCTCATGTGAAATTTGATCCTAACGAGCCTCTCCTTTTTTTTGGAACAAGGGGGAATAGTTGAAGAGATCCGCTTTTTCATTAAAAATCTCACTCAGAATATAAACATGAATAACACAAGAGACCCCAAAGTTTTCTGCTACTATATTGAGCGAATTCTGCTGCTCAATGAAAAAATCTCCTTTTTTCTGCCCTACGAAAATTTTTCAGTGACCATGCATCTATAACTATTGCTTTTCGAGAAAAATGGGTCAATTTGTACGTGAGCAGAGTAGTTTCAGGAAGCAAGAAAGTTTTGCTAATTTCATATTTCTGACAAAAATAGCAATTAGCAGAGTATCAAAATCAAAATCAAAATCAATATTCAGTCCCTGGAAATATTAACTTTCTTTCCAAATTTTAGATTACTGAAATCTGATTGGCTGATTTTTATTCTCGCGCATTCGTTATTTCGTGTATGATGGATTCCACCGGGGGAAACTTCATCAAACCACCATATCTACAAACCGCACTATCTTGAAGCCAAACTAATTGCATTATAATTCCAATTGCGTCATAACTGCGACATCAGAGTTACGTAACATAGTTGAATAACAATTTCGGTGCGTATTCAGAAGTCCCAAAATGAAAAATCAGTCCCTTAGGTCCCAAAATAAAAAAAGAGTCGCATAAGGGATCTAATTAACAATCTCCCCCCTATTGTATCTTATAAAGAATCTCCACCCCTGTAAACAAAAGCAGTAAGCTAAATTAACTTCGCATGTAAATTTGCATTTTGGTGCATTCTGATTGGTCGAAAATTCGCTGCAAGTAATCTACTTAACAATCTCCCCCCCCCCCCTTTTCTCGAAAGGTGGGGCGGGAGATTGTTAAGTAGATCCCGCATAAGTCCCAAATCTTTTCAATTGGCCAAAAGACTAAATTAGCCGTATCTCGGTTTAAGGTTGCCGGTGGGCGCGCTACGCACGCGTCGCCGCTTGGCGGCGATGAACGGCTCTAAATTTCGTATAGAGTCCTACCCTCTGTTGGCAAGCTCGCAACACGTTGGCGCGGCTGCGGCGGTCACTATTCTGCTGCTTGAGTTTATGCTGCTTGAACAGTAAACAATCTATCCATAAATTCGTTGGCTCAAATTTTAACCAATCAGAATTCAAGAAGAAAAAATTTGGGATTAATGCGACTGATTTTTTTGGGTGCTATGATTATTGGGATCTTTGGGAATTCACCAACAATTTCGTCAGTAAATTATGTCTAAGTTATATGGAAGTCCCATTTGTACCAAGGTTCGGTTGTATCTGTTCCAAAATTATTCAACTTGATGTCTGATTGGTCGAATTGTGATAGGAGGAATCATTAAATTAGTTTTCTACTGTTGAAACAGCAGAATACTAAACAGCAGAATAGTGACCACCGCAGTCCCACCAACGTGTTGCGAGTTTGCCAGCAGAGCGTAGGGCTTTATATAAAATTAGATCCAGTTATCTCCGAGAAGCGGCGACGCGCGCTTAGCACGCCCACCGGCGACCTTAAATCGAGAGCTTAAAAAGGTCGGCTTAGTAGTCGTTAGTTAGTCAATTGAATTTTTTTGGTACCAATGCGATTGATTTTTTATTTTGGTACAAATGGGATTGATTTTTCAGTTTGGTACTTGTGAATACCCACCTAAGTTATATCATTTTAATTCCGATTTCAAAGTTCTCAATTTCTGAAACATTTAAGCACGCAATCGGAGTTCTTGATGATCATAATTTTTCTCTAATTCTCTAATTTTCTCTAGTTTTTTACAAGTATTCGTCCCAAAACATTGACGTAAGAAGCAACACATGCCAAGGGCTAAGTTGCAAATGTCAAAGAGCACCGTCGTTCCTTTAAATTAAAGCAAAAAGAATAACAGGCACTGGTCTTCAAAATAATAAATTGTATGGTAGGTGTCTAGGTTACAAAGGTCATTATAAATGAAAGGAAAATAATTAGATATAAAAGCAAAATGGAGAATTGAGAGAAAAAAAATTTCCAACTGAAGAAATGTCAACTATTCCGTCATCATTTAAGGAAATTGCAGAAAATTGATAGATTTTGTTTCTCCGAATACGGTTCAATCAATAGATTTCTTTTCGACCTGTTTCCTGAGCTATCTTTGCGCTAGTTGATCTGTATAAAAATAAACGAAATCGATCAATGTGAAACTGAGTAATCAACCATTATCACTACATGTAGCAATGAAAAAAAAACAAGATTGCCCGTATTAGGGTGAAACCCTGAGTTTTCCTACTGCATTTTAAAGTCTATGGAGTAGAGTTCGCGTTAAAAAATGGATGAAATTGTGAAAAAAAATTGAGGTTTTTTAAAAATCATTCCACCACATTATGTAAAGTACAAAGTGATAAAACACTGCTCGTATCAAGGCTAAACCCTGAATGTTCCGACTGCTTTTTAAGGCTTATGGAGTAGTGCACGGTTTTAAAAAAGATAGAAAATTAAAAAAGCGTGTTCAAGTGTTTTTGAAAATCATCCACTCAAACGATATGAAAAGCTTAAAGTAAAATAATTAATTTAAAAAGCATTCCTCAATTCAATTTAGAACGATTGTTTAGAGGGATGAAATCTACCCTCACGCATTAATAACGCGAAAAGCATCGCGAGTTAATTGTCTCAAATTGTTGAGAATTAAACTCCCATAGTCTTACAATAAATAATCACAAGTAAAATATGTGATTAAAATTAGGCCCAGAACATAAATATTTTTCGGATGATATAAAAAATGTCGTCAAAATGGTCAGTTTAAAAGTTCGTTCGGAGAACTTCGTCTGGGGAAAAAAACAACACCGAGCAAAAATATTCCGTCACTTTCTTCAAAAATTGGAACAAAAAATAAAACTTAAAATAGGATACAGTTTTATCTGAATAAAATTCAATTTGATTTGAAATTAAGATAGCAAATTTTGCTCAAGTTAACTGAACACGCGTGCGTATTTTGTAGCGCATGTTGTTGATATGTCAGAAGCAAAATCCATTTGTTCCGTTCACCAAGTTCACTAAATGTCTATATCTAACCTAAATGTATTGTATCTCGGGCAGCGAAAGTCAAAAATTAATCAGACAATAGAGAATTAATTTGTAGTTTATTGGAACGTTAAAAATCAGTTATCAACTTTTTAGCATAGCCCAAAATTAAATTGCAATTAACTGCACAATTATTTGCATGCATGAAGCATCAAAAATATCTGCTGATTTTCGAAAATAACTGCTTTTCCAGGTTTTGCGGCAAAGAATTTTGCCGAAGATCAGAATATGCATATTCTGCAGTACTGAAAAATCTTTCAAACAAACTTCCAGTCAGAAACAAAAAAAAATTCTGAGAAACGTGCGGGTACTTCTAAAAATTGTATTTGGTGAAGTTAATTGGCAGAGCACAATCAATTAATTGTAATTGGTCAGGAATGGCAATCAATTAATTGAAATAAAAAAGTTCAATTAATTGCAGTTAATTGTGGCATTGTGGTGCTCCGGTAGTGATGGTGGCCAGCAATCATATGATTGCTGGTTCAAATCGCACGTGCACTGCAACTTGTAAGACGAGCTCTTGCAAGTAAGCCATAGCTTAAAGGGCGCTGAATATATGCGCTCATGTCAACCTAAATAATTAACCTCTGGGCTGGTTGACTAAAAAAATAATTGCAATGAAAATTAACTTTTGACCGGTCGAAACATTAAGTGAGAACCTCGAACGTGGATGAGCGGTTTGTGTTGTTTCAGAAACACAATAGGGGATCCGGACCTATTGAGGCGGACACAGGGGAGAAAAGTAGTGCTGTGAGGTCTCTGAGTATGTATGGACGGAGACTATCTACCAGTCTCTACAGACGCCGAGGTGGGTCCAAGAGTCCCACACCCACATTGGCGTCGGACTCGGAGGAGTCATCTCGCTCTGGAAGCCGACATGCATCCACCGGGTCTGTCAAGTACTCCGCCGGATCCGGGACTATTCCCGCTTCACCCGGAGGCTCAGGCTCAGGAGCGGACAGTTGCAAAGTCATGTGAAGATCTGCAACTTAGATATACGCAAAATTCAGAAAAGAAACTTCAAATAAACCCACGGGAAAGTTGTGGTGCATCATTATTGTTCATCTCAATGTTATCAATATCACCAATACTCTAACCCCGCAACCCCGCAGTAGACAGGGTATCACAACGGATTTCAGAAAAGGCTGTTTTTTAAGTTGCCTGCTTTCATCAAGTTACTGATATCAATGTCAAAACTTTAAATTGGGTCTTTTCTTTCTTCCACCCCCCCCTAAAATGTAAGATTTACTGGATTACTCATAAAAAACGAAACTCACACAATAAGTTAGCTCTGGGCTGCAACATAGTTTTTTTAAGAGGGCTGCTTTTCGACAAATGTTCAGAAAATTATATTTTTTTTCGACGAAATTAATTTTTTCGAGCTTTTGACTAAAAAAAACTATATGGCAAAACTTTTTGCGCCGTTTTTTGGATATTTTTTGAAGACTACGACAATAAAAGATTTAAGGGTTGGTCCTTGGTCGACCAGTTTAAAGATAACGACAAAAATTTTAAGGGTTGGTTGACCAGAAAAAATGTAAAATAGTACTCCCCCCCCCCCCCCCGATAAATCTGAAGAGAACGCCAAAAAAAGAATGGAGCAAATTTTCAGGCAGACTGTTGTAACAATCAAACCCCCATCCGCCATTAAGTGAGTTAGAGATATAAAATAACAAATGTTTAAAAATTTTGTATGAGTGTAACATAACTTGATAATTTTTGATAATATAAATTTCAATTGCGAAATTATTTATAAGAATAGTTTAGTTGGTTCGAGAAGCAATTTCATGATGCAACATAAAACCTTACACGTTTTTTCATTATTGAACGTTTATAATATACGCAGGGGCGGATCTAGGTCTTTCTCAAAGGGCGGATTTTCAAAGAACGTTCAAAATTTTATTTTCAAACAACTTTTGTGTGGGTCGACCAAATTGATTTTCCGAGCTCTCATTTTTGTGCTGCAGGTAAAGTTTTGAAAAAAAAACAGGTTAAAAAGCCCTTTTTTTGGAGCTTTTTGGAAAATTTTGACCGAAAAACTGCGTTTTTTGGGCGCGCGTATCCTCCTCAAACTTAAAATAAATTGGCGCCAAAGGCGCCTTTAACAAAATTATCCGTCTGCTGAAAATGGAGATCTCAAATTATACAAAGAGGAGATCCTTTGGGTCGGCAGGTGGTCGAATTCCTGGGGGGGGATCTCTGAGTTTTTGATGAGTTAAGTAGTGACAAAACTATGGAAGTTAGGCTGATCATATTAAAATTTTACTTTTACAATTTGAGCCATGTGTGGAATTAACAAAACCAATTGGCTGCCTCAATTCAATTTGGAACAACTTTGGAGTGCGGGATAGTTCAACTCGCGTGAAAATTATAAAATGAGCAATGTAGACAGAATCGTGGGGTGTTACTATTGTGGTTTGCACACTCGGCTGGGCCCTTGCAAATCATGAGATTGTTCCCCTGAGGGATCCAGAGTTTTGAGAGTTTTGCAAAGTTGGTCTGAATAATATAAAAAACACCAAAAGCATAATGGCACATTTTCTTCAAAAATTGGAACAATAACTAAATTGGTATAGCTTGCTTCGGCTCTTTTTCTTTTCTTCCAACTCACTCGAGCATCTTTTTTATGGTGTAATGAAAGGTTTTACAAAAAAAAAAATATAAGGATCAAGTATTTAAGGATCAGGTATAATTAGTCTGTATGCCAAACTTAATAACAATCGAATTATGTGTGCAAAATTTATGTTTGTATAATTTTGAAGGATGGAGTGAGTGGGTTAGGATTTTGCCTTTGGTTCTAGTTGCACATTATTTCAATAACTTGGTTCTGCTCGACTCATTTGAAATCAATTTTTTGCCGGATCAATTGCGTTCTCACGCGTTGTGCACATAGAAAACCGCAAAATATAGTGCGCATTGTATACAGTGCGGAGTCAAATTATTTGCTTCAAACAAACAAGACTGCTCGTATAAATGTAAAACCTTAAATTTTTCGACTGTATTTTAATTTCTATGAAGAAGCTTATATCAAAATGATTGATGAAATTTTCATAGAATGAAAACAATTCAAAATTGTTTTTGGGTTTTTTTAATCATCCACCACACGCTATATTAAATACAAAGTGATAATTTTTGCATGTAGTAAAACATTAAATAGACAAAAAAAGCACGCCTCAATCCAATTTGGAACAATTTCTACTTCGGAATAAAACTCTGCTCACGCGTTAATAACACGAAAACGATCGCGCGTTAATTGTTCCAAGTTGGCCGAATTGGCTATCTTTAAATCTATAAATCCCCCATATCTTTATGAACAATGATCACTGGTGATATAGTTTTTAAATGTTGAGCTTAGGGCAACAATACTTTTTAAGAGAAATTTTTGAAAATCCGTCTAACATTGCTAGTTAAAATGTTGAAATGTATTTCGAGAAATAAAACCAGCCCGAGCACAAATATTCCGTCATTTTCTTCGAAAAAAATTTCGAGTAATAAAAAATTGAAACACTTAACATCGGTTTCTTGGTTTTGAGTTAAACTACCAAAATGGTAAATGAATACAGCCAAAATTTCGTGCTGTAGTTTATTATTGTTAAATTTTCGACCCTCAATATCATAAAACAATAGAGCTTTTTAGGATCGAACAATTTGATCAAAATTTACACAAGAGCTACTTAGTGATTTTTGCACAATCTATATCAAATAAACGTCTTACTTAGTCAAAAATTTCAAAAATGTATCTTGTTTGAAAATTATCTCATGTTATATTTTTTTGTCTGATGCTCAAATTTAACTGTTTTCACTAAACAGAACTTTGATTTTTCATTTTATTTTACAATAAATTATTTGATGTAAAAAATTGAAAGTTCCAGACAATTTATGCTTGGGCTCAGTAGGAAGCTAATTTTGGGCTCAGGATGCGTAATCTTTGATTGAACAAATCAAGCCTAAAAACTCCCATTGTTGAAACCATTGGTTCTTTTCCAAATCCCGCTACACAAACTGAAGTATATCTATCCTGGCAAATTTTAAAAAAATGTGTACTTCACTTCACTTAAATTTAGAATCGAATTGAGAAAAATATTGTTATGGTCTCAAATTTTATTCATTCCATCTGGTAAAAAGTTGAGTGCACGGGAAGTGTTTGGAAGCTGGTGAATCAATACAAGACTCTTATTAAACGTAGCAAGAGCGCTTCAGGGCAGAGTCTTGAGTGTTCATAATGCTTTTCAATGTGTCTGATAGAGTTTTTTTGATGAAAACTGAAAACACAGATGCGAAGCGATGCTTTGTGCCACTTGCGATACAACATAAACATATAAAACATGAAAAATATTGGAAAAAACCAGGTGAACTAAATTTTTTGAATGCATCGGATAACAATGGACTCAGCCAAAACTGGAGGTAACTGTTTGATAATTCTTAAGACTAATATATTTTTGCGGGATGAAATGGGAAATTTCCAAAATTATACTTTGCCCAAAACCGTAGTTCTTTCTCTGTTGAAATTAGTACGACATGGTGAAAAATTTTGAGAATTGGATTTTTCCCAATAACATAACCTTTTTTACAAGGACTAAAGATTCGCCGATTCTGCAGAAAAACTTCTCGCCACCGACTGTTTCATTGAGTTTTTCATCTCAGATTTGACAGGGCCGTTTTTAGGAAAAACAAGATGTTTCTAAAAAAATGGTCAAAAGTTCAAAAAGGTGACTTTCCTAAACTCATAACTGTTTCTGCAAAAAACTTCACTAAAGAGTTCCAAAAAAGGTATCTCGATTAAATACTCAATTTGGATTTTCGATCAAAACAATCAAAAAATCAAAAACTTGAGTTTTCCGAGAGCAATGTCTTTTTTTGTGCAGAAAAAATTGGGAGTGGCCGCTAATGCAAGGGAGCTTCCCACAAATTTTTGTCTCCATTGAAGCCACAATCTCAAACTTGGGAGGGTATTTTTTGAGAAAAGTCAAACAGATTCAAAAATTGGTCAAAAATTCAAATATTTGACGCAGGTGTACTTTTAACAACCTATTCAGATTTTAACACCAAAAATTCAGATTCGAAAACAAAACAAAATTAAATAATATGGTTCAAATGTTCCTCACAAAACTTTTAAAGTCTGTACGCAGTGGGATGTTTTTGTCCATTGATACCCCCTTCTTAAAAATCTTTAGAGTTGTTATATAAAAATTTCTCTGTTGCAGATAGTGAATTACGCAAGAATTCTTTACAAACATGCCAAGCACGACAGTTGAAGTTTAAATTAGCAATGAATGGAGCTAAACTTACTAAGCAGAAACAAAACACAAAGCCGATCACCTTTGAGCATACACCTGCTGAGCCAAAAAAAAATGCTTTTTAAAAAAAAACTTTTAAAAAATTCGAGTCCCGCGTAAAACCACAATGAAAAACACTTGCAACTATCAAAATACTTGCTTAAAGCTCAAGAAAGTCCCGGGATGTGGCATAAAAGCCAACAAAATTTGAGCAGACGAAAAAAAATCTGTCAAATCAGTTTTTACATTCTGAAAAAAAAACAAGGTCCGGTCGGGGCTTCAACCCTAGATCTTAGGATGGAAGGGGACTGGAATTTTCAAGAATCAAAAATAAATCAAGTTTAAGTCTTTATGAACTTATATGAAAATTGTTCAGGGGAAAAGAAGTCTAGTTCTCGATTATAAATCACTTGCTTTCACAAGTGTAGAAAATAAAATATTTTTCCCTTTTTAAAAAAGTTATTCTCCCCACACACAATGTTAAGTAATAATATAAAAGACTGTTTAAATCAGAGCAAGACATTGAACGTTCCGACTGCTTTTTGAGCTGTTGATAGCAGTTTAGCCTTACAAATTTGTTGAACGGTTCGTTGAAAAAAATATTAAAAAGACAGATAACAGACCGCAATTAAATTTGAAGCGGACTGTAAAAAGGTTTGATTTGTCGCTTTCGCGGTAATAGCGCAAACTATATAGCACGTTAATTGTCTAAATTTTGCAATCTTTACACCCCCATAAATTTACAGAGAGAAAAAATGAAATTTTTTTTCAAGTTGAGCTCAGGGCAACAAAACTTTTCTGATGATATCACACAATTCTGTCAAAAACGCTGAAAAAGCGAAAATTGTCTAGAGAAAAGTAACCAGCCCAAACACAAACAATTTTTCACTCTTTTCGAAAAAAGGAACAAAATTCGCATTTGCTTA